GATACTGGGCTGCAGCCTCCTCCAGATTGATACTGGGCTGCAGCCTCCTCCAGATTGATACGGAGCTGCAGCCTCCTCCAGATTAATACGGGGCTGCAGCCTCCTCCAGATTAATACATTTACACTTAATTTACCTTAAATATTGTTGGATTCTTATGAACAAACCAACTTAATATTAGCAGCAACCAGAGAACATGAAACCACATGGAAAGGGAGGGATATAGATTGTTGAAGGATCTTCCTGATCATCTGTGGTCAGACTGTTAAACAACATTTCTGTTTTCCATGTTTTAGGACTCCTAAATAATCTTTAATCTTAAGATTTATTTTTTTCCCAGTCCTATCTGTGTTTTTGTTTTTTTAGACCTTAAAGTTACATAAAGTGAATTATAAACAGAATGTATTAATATCACCTTTATCTTACAATCTTCCTTTAAACTAAACACTCAGCAGCACTTCTGTTATAAATATCTCCATCTTAATAATAATCTGAAGCGTCTCTGATCTCTGGAGGCTGTTTAAGGTTTAACTCCAGTGTTCTGGGCTGTAAATGTTTTTCTTTCAGGTTCTGGTCTCTAAGGTGAAAATTCTTCCAGTGCTTTTAAAGAACCTGCAGGATCCAGATTATCTGTTCTCTGATCACATTTCCACCATCCTGTCCAACCTGAGCCGCCATGAGAAGACCTGCAGAACCGTGTTCGAGGTGAGACTCTTTAATGACGTCAAATCCGGATGTCTAACATGTTTTCTTTTTTGCTTTTCTTACTAATTTCTCCAACACACACCTGCTTTAGCTCGCTGAAGTATTTATGCTGTAACTGTGACTCAGAGAGAAAAGACACAAAATTCCCACTTAAAACCACTTTCGTGATTTTTTTTTTGTTTGTTTTCTGTTATATTTTCTCAGTCTCATTCTCTGACGTAGAACCAATTGTCTGTTGGTTGCTTTTGCAACTCTGGGTTTTTACATTTGGCTGCAGATAGAAATAAATCTAAGGTCAAACTTATCAGGCTGATGAAGTTTCCCCTGTCGGTTCTCTCAGGTCCTGCAGGAGGAGGTTGGTTTGGCCAAACTGGTGGAAATCTTCTGCAACGAAAGCTACAACAAAAAGGCCAAACTGCACTACATGGGCCCCCTGCTGTCCAACCTGACCCAGCTTCCTGAGGCCAGGAGCTACATGATGGACCAGGACAGGTGAGCCGATGATCAGACGGTCAGAAAGAGCTTCATCACATCTGCATATGGAAACCAAAATAAATAAATATCTCAGAAAACAATCAGCAATCATTTATGGACAAATGCTTCTTCCATTAGTTTTTAAAAGTGATGAGATGTAAACACAAAGGATGCTGGTTCCCTGTAGGGATGTACCGATTTTTTGGGGGGTCCAGATTTTTGTCAATACCGATCTGATGTTTTAATTATTAGTTTTTACCCATCCATCCATCTTCTGCCATGCTTATTCCTAGTGGGGTCATGAGGGGTGCTGTCTACGGGCGAGAGGCGGGGTCCACCATGGACAGGTCTCCAGTCCATCGCAGGACAACACGGAAACAAACAGGACAAACAACCATTCACACTCACACCTAAGGAGAATCTAGAGAAGCCTATTAACCTAACCATCATGATTTTGGACTGTGGGAGGAAGCTGGAGTACCCGGAGAGAACCCACGGGTCCTTAAAAAGTCTTAAAAGGCATTGAATTCTTCAAAATAAAACTAAGGCCTTAATTGGTATTAAAATGTCTTAAATCAGTCTTTCGTA